CTCTTATCTCGAACAATTTTAACAAAGCACCTTAAGCTCAGAGCTTAAAAGTTAATAACATTGCAAAAGTTGAGTTGAAATTATCTCTCCTAGATAACTAAGTGACCCTACGCGCTCTTGGTCTCATATGATACGTGATAGAAATTTTTCCTGCTATCAAATTAATTTACGTTCGTTCTTATGAATTTTGCTATGAGGCACTGCTTAGTTAATAGTGTACGTAGTACTATTACTTATTCTGTAATAGTGAAATAAGACATAACTTCTTTCATTAACTCTACTATGTACTGCTTTCTCACAATAAAGGATAGGTCATCGTCCAGAATAAAATTAAATATTACTACATGGTTACAAAAATATATAACAAACTACCACCCATCACAAAAGAGGAAACAAAAAAATGCTACATTAATTAATTTTATATATATTTATAATAATTAATTTATAATCTTTTAATGCATTATTAATTTTTTTTTAAATTATTATAATTAAAAGCACAAAGAATTGACAATTGATGGGGAAGAAAGGTGTTCTCGAGTGGCAGCCTCGTATCAGTAGGCGAATGTAGGCGACCCCCACTAGATGGAGTGATGACCTGGTAAAACTTGCGGGAAGTTGATGGTATCAGCTGGCTGTAGACCGTGCTTTGTGGCATTCCTTGGGGGAGGCCTATGTTCAGCAGTGGACTTGAGAATAGCTGTAGTAATGGTCATGATGATAATTCACATGAAACCATAAGCTCACAATTAATTATGAGACAATATTTAAACCATTTCGTTCGTTTAAAGCTCCTATCGTATACTTATAACTAAGACAGCATAGCTTTTGTCTAATAAAGTGGAAGAGCGATTGAATAAGATGTGTGATTTACGCGGTATAGCCAATCTTCAACTACTCGTATATAACGATTGTACGAGTAGCACAAATGGGTCGACTCGACCGTAGAAGGACCACGCTCTCATAAAATGCCAGCGTGAAATAGCAGTTTAATACTTCTCTTTTTCGTATGCTGGGTGTAAAGAGGGATCTGCAGGCCCTTTTAACTGGAAACGAGCCTCCCCATCTTAGTCCTCAGGAGTGTCAACATATCTGCAGTTTAATTCTTAATCGAGGATAAATGTAGATGTCTATGTGCCACAGCATCCACTTAACATCAGGTGGACTGTGTGGCCTTGCTTGTCACCCTTATTCTATAAAAAAAACCTTCGGGATGAAATATAGTGGTGAGCTCCGATAAGTCATCACCGCACGCCAGACTTCTCTTGTATTAGTTTTCAGATAGTACGCACAACATCAGTTTAATGTCATTTCGTTGTTGAATGGGCGTTATCTCAATATCTGTTTACTCTGAGATTTGTTTGACGCAATATAACCGCGCATCAGTTTTGGTTTTCATATGATTCAATGGAATGACGTCATTATATTTATAATGTACATTATGTTAATCCATAGGCAGATTAACTTAGAGAGGATTCCCGTAGTAGGGCTGCGATGGGACTGCCGACGCTGGTGGGACGGCGGATGTAAGCGAAAAGTTTTTTAGTGACTGCGAATATGCGGTAAAAGTAGAATACAATGAGAATTTAGTCTGTGGTCTAAGAAAAACAACCTTTTTAAATGATTAAAACTACTTTTACGGATTTTGTCGCGTTTATTTTTACTTTTTATTTTTAATTCCCGACGTTTCGGGCGCTTTCCAGCACCCATGGTCACGGGGGACTGAGATGACTGACGTCCCGATGTCATTGTTAAACCCGGAGTACCTTCAGCTTTTTTAATTATTGTTTATGGTCCGATCTATGCAAAATGAACTGACTATGTCCTGAGGTCTTGCAGTGGTATGCTTGAGTTTAGTTTTAATTTTATTTATTATAGGATCCCAAGCAGGTGGTAGTACCCAGCCTCCTTCTCTATTGAAATTAGGATGTTTTTTAATTTCAATAGCCTCACGTATCATCCGTGGTAGGAATCGGTGTTCTTTCGCGAGGATTTGTGGTCTATCAAATCTGATGTAATGGTTGGGGCCGTCTAGGATATGATCACAAACTGCAGACTTCCCGGAACGTTGATGCTTCACATCAGCTATATGTTCTTTTACGCGGGTCCTAATTGATCTTTTGGTTTGTCCTATATAAGAGAGACCACATTCACAATCAAGCTTGTACACTCCTGCATCTTGTAGAGGAATATGACACTTGACGGATGGTAGGAACTGACTAATCTTCTTCGGCGGCTTGTAGAATGTTCTAATAGAAGCTCGCTTCAAGGTATAGCCAATCTTGTCTGTGACACCTCTGACATATGGTAGTACAGCAGGCACACGCTCGACTGTGGCCGGCTTCACTCGGTCACTGTGACGTAGGCGCGGGACCCGAAGCTTGTTGTCGTGCAGAACTTGCTTGACGTGCTGAAGCTCGGCGGCCAGGTGTTTGCTGTCACAGATCCCTCGTGCTCTCTGTAACAAAGATTTGCCCACGATAGCTAACTGTGAAGGATGGTGGTGAGATTCACCGTTTAAATATCGGTTTGTATGGGTCTTTTTTTCCTATACACAGTGTGACCAATGGTGTTATTAGGATTTCGGATGACTAACACATCTAGGAAAGGTAAGGAATTATTTGCCTCTAACTCCATAGTAAATTGAATTTTAGCGTTTATGGAATTAAGATGTTCTAAAAATGCAGTTACTTTGTCTGATGGTAAAATTGTGAAAGTATCGTCTACGTACCGCTTGTAGATCCTTGGTGTAACAGGTGCAGTAAGGAGGGCTTTCTCCTCAAAGTCTTCCATGAATATATCGGCGACAATGGGAGATACAGGTGAGCCCATCGCCACACCATCTACTTGCTTGTAAAACTCTTCCTTCCACAACAGATAGCCAGATGTAAGGCAATGTCTTAGTAATACTGCATATTCTGCTGGCATGTTATTTTCCTCTAGTTTCCTAGTTATAATTGAGATGCAGTCTTCAACAGGTAGGCATGTAAATAGAGAATGAACATCAAAACTGACCATGGTTTCATTGTCAGTAAGATGTAGGTCTTTTATCTCACTGACAAAATGGTATGAATCCTTAGTGTGTGCTCTTGTGTGTCCTCTGAGTGGTGATAATATTTTAGCTAAGTATTGAGCCAATCTGTAAGTTGGCGAATCAGTCTGACTCACTATTGGACGTAATGGAGCATTCGGTTTGTGTATCTTTGGTAACCCATACAACTTCGGTGGTTTGGCACAGGAAGGTATTATCGAATTAACGTCCAGATTCAATTTTTTGGAGTATTTCTTAATTAGATCGCTAGTTGTTTTAAGCGTATTAGTTGTAGGGTCTGTTTTGACCTTTCGATAAGTAGTTTCATCTGACAAAAGTTGTTGTATTTTAAAATTGTAATCTGACGTATCCATTATAACCGTAGAATTACCTTTATCTGCGCGGAGAATCGTAAGCTCTGGTCTGTTGCGTAAGTTTTTCAACGCGTTAAATTCATTTTTGGGGAGATTTAATTTCGGCGCTGAACTTCGACGTAACATAGACGAGATGTCTTGACGTATGGCCTCTAAATCTTCATTACCAATATTATTTTTATACAGACAGTCCTCAACACTACAGATAATGTCCTCATACGGTATTTTTCGCGGTGTTATTGCGAAATTAATACCTTTTTTCTAAAACTTTTATTGTGCAATGTTCGCGTAAATATAAGAAATCATTATGTTAACCTTTTTAAACTTCCTTGAGAGGCTCGACGCTCGCATTGCCTAGTAGACTATATATGTACATATGTCTTTTGACTATGAGTATCTACTACCCCTTAGAGTTTTAATATAGTTCCAAGATGCCTTTGGATCTATATGTAGGTGATTTTAGATACGATGCTTGTAAAATGTCTTCTCACTACTTACTATAACATATTTTTAACTCTCGCCATTAACCATAATCTTCCGCGGACCCACTCGATCTACACTTTTTAAGTGAACCAATCAGGGTAATGAAACCTCGATCTCACAGCGTTTCGCTTTTTCTTTGAAACGCAGTCATCTATAATTAAATAAAAATTAAATAAAAATTGTTATAAAAAAGTTTAAGCACATTTGTAAGTTAAGACTACACATAGGACCCCAATCTATAACTGCTATTATGATATCGTAAGAACTAAACCAACAGCATTAAATATACCGATTGAAAAATAAACCATTCAGCGTTTCCTGCGTAACGAAATTGGTATTTTTTATTCTTAAAAAACGTTACCCTCATACTAGGATTGTCTTATGTATAATAAAGGCAGTTTACAAACATAAATTTTACAAACGCAAACATCCACCCGAAACAATTTATAGATCATACAAATTTCGTTCGGGAATCGAACCCGCGGCCCTCAGCGTCTTAACTCTTTGCTAAGCCACTGTGCCACGGGGGCCGTCTAAATACTTTGACATACATTTACATAAAAAACACAAACACAAAGAAGGTAACTTTGACGTGACGCAAGGTTGTACGCGTGTATTTTTTGCCCCAAGGGCCGTATATGGATAAATATCATCCTACTGTCAACATGATATACCTAACAGGACGAAATATTTAATTGGTGAAAATGACTTAGTCTATCTACAAACTTCGAAAGCGTCTCTCATGCTACACTAATAAAGTAACAGTTTGTATACGTCCCACCACAGCTGGGCCAGAGCCGCTTTTCATTCCTGCATGGTTTTAAAGCTGGGAAGTGTCTGCCGCGATGCCCATTGACCGCACATGTTCTAAAGATATTAAACAATTCTCATGACAATTTCTACGTACAAATAAAGGTTTCCTCACCATGTTTTTACCACCGAGTACGTGGTCAATTAAGCATTTAAAGTTGCAATTATCAAAAACGAAGTGAGAAATATTTTTAATTGATAAATCTTTCACAATACGAAATTTTCCAGTTATAATTTTCATGTGCGTGTACAGTTGAACTGTAAATCTAACAAAAAAATCTTTTATTTTTCCAGATTTTACAATCATGGCGACTTCAAGAACATGCCTTCTCGTCATCAGCATACATTTAATCTACGCAGTCACCGCTCAGGAAATGGAGAAGCGGGTGCCGCAAGGATTCGTCGGCATGAGGGGTAAAAAGTACCTGGACTCGAGGGAAACCGAGCAGTTCTATAAACGAAAACCACAGTTCTTCGTTGGCGTGAAAGGTAAGAAAAATTACGACTCGTCGGAATACCAAGAATCGAGCAAACAAGTACCGATGGAATTTGTCGGAATGCAAGGGAAGAAAGAATATCCTGAACTGTTGTTACTACCAGACGATTCTGATTTCTATCCAGAAAGATTTGGATCCCTATTCGGTAAGATAGACTATACTGCTAATGAAATTGATCAGAACGAAGGGCGTCCGTTTGCCGACCTCATTGCGAATTACATTCAAAAGCTGCAAGGCATAAACCTGAGTCCTGAAAGTGTAGACACCAACGAACAATTACCAAATGCGGAGTCATACGAAAGAGTCACGAACGAAGTCGACAAAAGAGCCAATTTCCATCAATTTTACGGAGTACGTGGCAAGAAGTCCGTACAGAAAAGACGGCCATACGATCTCTCGTTCCGTGGGAAATTCATAGGCGTACGAGGAAAAAAGGATCTGCAAAACAGCGGCACACAAGAGATTAAGTTTTTGCTCGAACAAAATGGACCATGGCCGAAACGAAAGGCCCAGATGGGTTTCTTCGGCATGCGCGGCAAAAAATGGACCGACGGTAAGTCATTAATCAAATACGCATATTAATTTTGATTACACATCAATAGACATTTATAGACAGGACAAGAGTAAAACACATATATAAGAAATCTAATAAATTATTTGTACTCTTATGCCATATCAAATTATATCAAATGAAATTTATAAATTATTATCAAAACACGACTAAAACAAAAAGTTATCTGTTTTGCTTATATGTGCTGTGATACGGCACACAAATAAATTACATTATGATGTTTTAATCACAGAATTCTATCCTGATTATGGCTAATCAAAAGTTTTAATATCGTTATTTCATTTGATGTTTGTCAAATCTTACTTAACTTCTAAATTAAAAATATTTTTAAAATATCTCCACTCTCTCACCACTCTTTAAAAACGGAGTTTCCCAGACTGGAGATGAAAAAGTGAAAGAAACTTTTTCTTTTCATAGAATAAGAATGACAAACGAGAACACAGTCCACCTGATGTTAAGTGCAAGCTGTAGCACATATACATCTACATCAATGATCAAAATGTCGATGCGTTGCTGAGGACTAAGATGGAATGTCACATAAAACAAATGTACAGTAAAAACCATCTTCGCTTTTCTACACTCACCATACGAAATACCACGTAAAAAAAATAAAGTGTATATGTCACTTAAAGAGTAGCAAAGATGTTATAAGTTTTTTGTTCTCTTGCAGAATCCAGCCCAGAGGCGACTCCCAACTAAGTCATTTCGATATCACAAGTTGCTATTTCCGTCACCGTCTTGAAGACTTTACATACCGACATATCTTACTCGTAAGAACTTTTTGCCAATTAAAATATAAGGAGAGGCTTATTCTAGCGTTGAATTTTAATTACAACTAGTCAATAATTTAAGAGATGTTGAATTGTATTACTAACAAATATCTATTTACTATCTAGACAAAGTCAAACTCTATCTCTATTAAATATTTCGTAAATATTCGTGTTTGTATATGAATACGACTTCTTGTTAGCACATAATAATTAATTAGGTATTTAATGTTAAATAGTAGATAGTAAAAAGTAAAATTTCAATGAAAAGTTTAAATCGCATTTATTGTAAATTAAGTTATTCATAATGAACATTAATATATATAACTAATATAGTATCCAACTTATAACAGGAACTATATTTAATATGTCGTATTGGTATCAGGAAAAACAAAGATTAACCAACTTGGCATCTACCTATCTCATGGCATAGCAAAGATATATATAAATATATATATATATATATATATATATATATATTATACGTTACTATAGTCTATCACAATTAAACGGGTCATACTTAATAATTTCGTGATTACATGCATTTTGAAATTCAAGAAATTACAAGTTATTTCTAAGTGTAAAATATTAAGTATTTCGGTACCTCCATAATTAATCAACTGAATAATATGTGTCAGTACAGTTATAATAAAGATAAATATTATACCCGCCTACTACAATCAATATTGTACGAGTATGACTTACAGCCATAATAATGTCACAGCATTTAACCTCTTTTTTTACTATTAATACTTAATAATAATTTACTTTTGACCAAGTATAAACAGTTAACAATTACAGGAGAATATAAAGGAAAATAATATTATATAATGTTTCATTCTATAAAAACCGACTAAAGTTTCTTTAGGCTGCCTTTCATTTCAGCTTTGTTACTCACTATGAACTTCCATAATTTAAGTATCATGTCAAGAAAGACACCTTGCTCAAACTGACATACTCTAACGCACAAATCTTTCTTCTTACTTTTTTATCAGCCAGTAAGAGTCTATTGCTGGGCGCACACATAAGCAACTAAAACAATTGCTGCAAATGATCTAAGATGCACATATATGCGTCGAGCACGTGTTCTTGGTTCTTACAATAAGTTGAACATGGTTTCATCGTCACTTGAAATATAAGTAGAGTGCAGTCTATCTTTGTTGATCATTTCTTTAGTATTATAATATTTTATAGCATATGTTTTAAAAACGGTTTATCATATCGAAAATTCTATACCTAACCTACCTACCTTTTTAAATACAATTTCCTGTGACTTAATTCTTACCTAAATTTGTCTAAAATTACGTAAACTCATAATTTAATGACAAATGTATTACAAAAGATACAAAATAGATTTTTAACGTTCGTGACATAAAACATGATGCTGTGTGCAAAACGACTCTGTAACTCTTGATAGATAAACTGTCACCGCATTTGATAAAACCATAATATAATAGTTACAGTTACAACCTTTCTCGTTAGTTCATCTTCATTTTATCTACTTATATAATTACATTCTTGCATTTATTTAAATACACTAGTTATATTGCAGTATATACTTAAGTCAACTATTGTATTAACTACGCCAAAGTAATTTTTAATTATTCTTGAAATATATATACATAACATACATATTTCAAGAATAATTGAAAACTAACATGAGAAATTCACACAAAAATGCATTTTGCAAGGCTGGCAAAATGTGAACAATGTATAATAATAGTTATTATAATAATTATTATGATCCTATACGGTTATAATTTAATAAAGGCAACTGTCAATTTAACAGCATTTTGGTTTTTTCTTTTAATATCCTATCCGTAGGTACCCTTACATGCCGTGGTACTCTGTAGCTCTTGGTGCTTTTGTGCAGGAAAATATCGTAAGGAAACCTCTTTACCTGAGTGAGCTTTTTGCAACTGTCCTTACTTAATGTCGAAAAGTCGTATTTTTTCTATTCTTTTCGAGATGTAACGACAGGAAAATAAGGAATGCTTTATTGCTACTGCTGTCGTAACACTATACATAAGCAGAAGTGTGGAATCATTCGCGCTATTTATATTTCTCGAATATTAATAGTTTTTAAATTGGAGTAGAATAACACTAGAATATCGAGAAAAGAGAACTGTTTTTTTTGTAGAACATGATGACAAACGAGCACGTAGTCCATCTGATGGTAAGTGTATGCTGTGGCCCATAGACAATGACATCACCTTCGATTTGAAATCAAAATGCAAATGCGTTGTCACTGAAGACTAGGATAGAATACCTCGTTACCAGTAAAAAAGTTCTCCGGTTCTCTAAACTCACCCTACGAAACACAGCAACATTAAATTGCAATTTCACGATGATGATCTGTAGTGGTATACCTAGCGTTATATTTTAGCAGCACGTATAATTTAATTTTACTTTCATTTATAAGATAAAATGCGTCTAAATTTGGGTCAGATTCGTTCATCACACTCGTAGATTGTATTTTGATATATTCATAGTGACTTCACGTAACATCATTATAAATTTGACAGTATCGTAGCGCAGTGGACAAGCATGTGGCTCCGACGCTAGAGGCCGCGAGCTCTAATTCCGAACAGAAGGATTTGTAAGTATGACCTGCTAATATTAATAATAATATTTGGGTCAAGACGTTATTCTGTACAAACAAGAGAAATCAATACGTTGTGTTAATTTTTTGATCTACGAGTACTTATAGAATCTAATATAGGAATATTAAAAAAATAGTATTGAGTTTTATACATAGGCCCTACCCATTTATTTCGGATTTGGCAGGCAAGTTGGTGGAGCCATCCGCCTCCTAGACTAGATCCAGGTGCTTCCGAGCGCACGCTCTTTCTGGCCCTATGGCCCCACGTAACAGATTCTGGGGGATTTCATTGCTCTCATAGGAAGACTCCCGAAAGCGTTCCCATAGTTCAGACAATGTGCAGCAAAGATAAAAAACTATGGGCTTTTAGGGGGTTTGAAGCCTCCGCGAAGCGGATATAAGTAGCTATTTCCTTATGATGAAAAATAATGCATTGTATGCAGAATAAAATCTCTTTAAGACACAACATTAGTTGTTTTATTTTTATTTTAGACTAACAAGATAATAACGTACGGATAAAAGAGATGGTTAAAAGAGATTCAAACAAGTGACAAAATAGAAACAATGCAGTGGACGATATGTATGATAAGCTCGTGGAAACTGCCCATGTGGTCGGAGCTAAGTTCTGCAAGACCCGCCGCAGAAGAACACTAAAACTCTCCGCGATCATAAGGATGACTCACGGTAGACCGTGTCGAGTCCGCCCCGAGTGTCGACCGTAGCACGGTCAACTAATATTACATATATTTTGTATGGACACACTCACGCTATACCGAGCGGTAAACAAGTGACGGCCGAGCAACGGACAACGCCCGGCCCGGCCTCGGTCCCGGCTTGTAGTTGAAGATTTATCCGATTCTACATCGTCCAGAGCGATCGCAATAGCAGCTAATTCCAGATCGTCAAACTTCAACATAATTGTAGTATACAACACTATTTTTGCTCCGACGAGTATACTGCATAATGGCGCAACAGTAATTGCTCGGTCGAGGCCCGTTTTTATAATTACAGGCACGTGTTCGCAGTGCCACGGTCGACACTCGGCTCGGACCCGACCCGGTCTAGCGTGAGTCATCCTTTAGACGGGAAATGAAGCTGTAGTCTTCAACAGATTTAACTGCATACAGGCAGTGACAAGTGCTTGGATATTTTTTCATAGGTTTCAGTTAACTTGGACGGACAGGTCATTAACAAGTTTTGGAAAATCAATATAAGTTATAATCGATATAATAATCCATATATGTTAGTACATGTAACTCAATGGTTAAGGTACCTATTTATAACTCGATGTTTTGGCTTATAAAGGATAGAAAACCGAAAAATTGAACATTTTCAACATTTACAAGCACACAATGCTAATTCTTATGTATTTGACATCTACGGTCAAGTTAAAATGACTTGGTATACTTTAAAAAAACTGTTGAGGTATAAGGTTCGGTTAATTTTATGTAAATACATAAAAATCAAGTGTTTTGCACCAAGTTATAACAGAATGCAATATTAGTTGAATGATAGGAAATTATTTGTAATTTCGTTCCAAGCATTCATCATCATAATACATAGGGCAAGGCAATAGAACCTCAATATGTAAAATAAACAATACATCTGGCCATGAAAATATTAGTTATACTGGTCTGGATATAAAGTAAAGTTAAATACTGCTGGGCCTAGGCACTTCGTTAATGGAGCAGTTCTTCCTTGTCCCAGTGAGAGTCGGTAGACTTCACGTTCTCACAATATTTAACATCTTAGACATGCAGGTTTCCTCACTATATTTTCTTTTCCCGTGCCAAATAGAATGGTAATCGCGTGGAAATCAATTAAACTCTGATTACTCGTTTATTAGAATTGTTTCATTTATTTATTACCAAAACAGTTACAGCATCATAACAGTTTAAGACCAAGACAATGCGATACAAAAACAAAAAGAAAGATAAATATAGTTACTAAGATACAAAAGTATACAAAATTATAATTAAGTAAAATAATTATAAAAATATCTCACAGACCATGTGCATCGCTTTTGTGCATTTTACCATGCTGCATTTAAAGATGTCTGTTTCTTCGGAAATAATATTTAATAATTTTAAAACACGTATCACAGATGCAAATGTGCGTAGTATGTAATAAATAGATAATGAAAAGATTATTTATATTTATTAGATAATGAGTAGTATCTAATAAATATAAATAATCTGAGTAGATTTGTGCTCGTGTACGCCAATTTAAATGTGGGATGCAGGCGACGCCTAACCATTGCCTTATCACGCACAAACAGCTGTAACGCCTTTAGTACCTCGGGATGGTGCAGCGGGTCACGCAACAACACG